TGGTTCCTCACCTGAACTGAACAAAATGTGAAAATTAGTGGTTTAAGGAATACACATACTGGGTAACACATGCTATAGCACAACAGTATGTAACATGTAGAAAGTATGCACTCGGGCAGTATGATGATTGTATTGACTGGTGTGTAGCTGAGGTTGATGCCAGCCTGTACATGTACTGCTGAGTGCATACACAACTTTTTGTTATTTGTAGCAATAATTTATTGCGAAATAACAACCTGAATTGGTGATGAAAAGATTTTGTGTTGCTCATGTTAGAATTTATTGATGGGATTTTATTTCCATCACACTCTTCAGTGTTCCTGTGTCTGATCCAAACAAACAAAACTTTTAAAATGTTACATCAATAACCTGAAACGTGTTGGTGATGTAGTTCACCCCAAACATAGAAAAATTCACATATACCATGTGCAGAGTTATACCACATTTTTTACTGACTTTGTTATTTTCCATTCATTTTGGTTATATGTGGAGGCTTTCAGCAAGCAATCTCAACTCTTTGCGAAGTATACAATGTCAGTCCAACATGTACATTGTAGGTACTCATGGTTTAAGAGCCAGACATACCATTCTAGGTTCAATGTGTTCTACTGAGTAACGATAATGACATTTCCCAAATTATACACTGCATGTATACTTACTGAAGAAGAAACTTTCAGAGTTGCACGTTCATAAACTTATAAATTTTATACCATTGGTTTTCCACTTTTCAGGGATGCATGTTCTTGGTGGATTCGCTACATGGATTATTGTAGATATAGGTCAACTGATGATTGGAAGATTAACTCCACATTTTTTAACAATTTGTATGGATGACTTAAGTGATTGTACAACAATAAACAATAATGATGAATGTGATAGTAGTGGTATTCCTGAGAGTTGTGATGATGATATGAAGAATTGTGATTATCTTAATGATGCAAGGTTAGTAACAAACAAAGGTCATAATATCCAGTATGGTTGTCATAGCAACAGGTGTGGCAAACTAATATTTTATACTTCTACGTGGATATTTTAAACTGATGGTTTATATTAAATGTTTTGACAAATTATATTTAACAGCTTTGTATATGGAGACATCATTTTCATTTCATATATATCATAAACTCTAACTCTCTTCATTCCAGAATGTCTTTTCCTAATACTTATGCTGCCTTATCTGCCTATGCTGCAGTCTACTGTGGGGTAAGTTGAAATTAACATTTATTCACTATCAAAAAATTGATTCAGCAATACTTAAATTTAAATTCACAAAATTAATTTCTTTGAATGTGTTACTTGTTGGTGATATATAGATAATGATAGCACAAGTTAATATTTTGTTGCTATTGAGTCACAAAAAATACCACTAGTAATGTTTTTGAGAATAGTAAAATGATACATGGGAAACATTTAGTGTTTTGTAATTACAACTGTACCTGTGTACAAGCAACATTATTATGCATCTGACAGTGAAAACAATAGAATTTACCTAATATCCATAAAATACTGTATTGACATGTTTGAATGTGTTTACATTGTCAACTCTGACTCCTTTCTTTAATTAAATTAATATTACAAGCAAAAAGATGTATAATAATGAGGTTCTCTTGATAGTATGTATTCAGGCAGTACGGAAACACAACAATCTCTGCTATGTGTCAGTCAATTCTTGTAGTATAAGTAAAAATATCTATCTTTGTTTTAGTTGTACATATCATCTGTGTTTACGATTACGCTGACAAGATTAACACGTCCATTCCTGGTCCTGGGATTGTTACTGTTAGCATACATGGCTGGTTTGTCAGAAGTTGCTATTAATCAGTGTTTTTGGTCTGATGTTCTAATTGGCTATGTGATTGGAGCAACTGTTGGGGGATACCTGGTAAGTGGACTGTGTTCTAATCATCTGCTATTAGATCAGCGCATCTGTTGCCTGAAACTTGGACTAAAAAATGATTTAGAGTATAAATATGAAAGAGCAATAATCATAATATTTTTAACATTCCAGGGTTATTTTGTACTTGATTACTTCAAAGGAAAGCCACAATATAGTGCACATAACTTCCCAACAGAAATGCAAGACTTGGTTGTAATGAACCCTATGCATCCAGTAAACAAAGCTGCAATGACCAATGATCCAATACCAGATCAACCAATGAAGAATTCCGATGTACAGACAGGACCTAACAGGCTATCATATACATACGATGGCTCTATGGGACAGGTACCGCTTCCTACAAGAAAAGCCCAGAAATCATTCCTACATAGTCCTGACAATTATTTAGCTTCCAATGGAACCTAATGTTGCACTAAATTATCCATCAACAATTTCAATAATAATTAGCATTAAAAAATATATTTTTATTGGTATTATTTGAGCTGAATGTGAACAAATTCTTTCGAAATGGCTGATGTCTACAACAGCTAGGTAAAATTTATCCCGGCAGAAACAAAATATATCTGTGTTGTACATATGCAATGTGTTTGGTATGTACATTACCACAATTCATGTAATGAGGTATGAGCATGTCACCTGACATGTGTATGTAATGCATGGCTTTTGCATACTACTAACCGATCAGCTTTTTGGGTGGATTAATTTTCAACTTTTATTAACTGTCTCAGACCAGGAATACCTGATTATTTACTCCTACCTGTCAAATTATTAGCGGTAACAGACATTCCTGTATATCCAAATATTTACCAGCTCTGGTAGTTTTGTCCAATTACTAGTTAGATTAGCTGAAATTATTTGATTGTTTTATATATATAACCTAAAAATACATTACAGCATTATTTTGTCATAGAATTGAGAAAACAATAGCTCTTTACTTGTAACTAGTATGAATATGAAGAAAGATTTTCAATGTAATTTATATATTAACAGTATTAGTGTGATATGACGCAGTATGTAACTGTATTTTCTGTATTAGTAAAGCACAACTCCTGAAAGGTCATACATTGAACCTCCCCACCCATATATGCCAGCCAGCATTTGTTATTCAGAAGCGGTTACACATTGAACTTCCCCACCCATATATGCCAGCCAGCATTTGTTATTCAGAAGCGGTTACACATTGAACCTCCCCACCCATAAATGCCAGCCAGCATTTGTTATTCAGAAGCGGTTACACATTGAACCTCCCCACCCATAAATGCCAGCCAGCATTTGTTATTCAGAAGCGGTTACACATTGAACTTCCCCACCCATATATGCCAGCCAGCCAGCATTTTTTGTTCAGAAGCAATTACACATTGAACCTCCCCACCCATAAATGCCAGCCAGCATTTGTTATTCAGAAGCGGTTACACATTGAACCTCCCCACCCATAAATGCCAGCCAGCATTTGTTATTCAGAAGCGGTTACACATTGAACTTCCCCACCCATAAATGCCAGCCAGCATTTGTTATTCAGAAGCGGTTACACATTGAACCTCCCCACCCATAAATGCCAGCCAGCATTTGTTATTCAGAAGCGGTTACACATTGAACCATTGATATATTGAAAATTATTGCTGTTACATAATATAATACTCCCCTAGAAATTACCAGGATGTATGACCTTAAGGGTTATGTATAAGACTTACGACATGTGTTTTAAATATTAGTATTCCTAGGCTAGTTGTGTACAGTTGTTATAGTGTATGTGATTTTTAATACAGAGTACACAGTAGCATCACCTTATGTTATAACTATTTACTCAAGATGCAGCATTATTATAATAACACTCATAAGTGTTATAAGAACAAAATGATTGAAATCGACCCATCGTGGTGATCACTATATTTTCCTTTATCGCTTTATTGTTTTACTTTCCTTACTCTGATGTAAACTGATTTCTAGCGTGTAATTGTGCAAAGTTAAAATTATTTTGCCTTCCCTGATGACCATTCACTTGCAATCCATGCGTTTACCTTATACTAATCTTGACTTTGTTTTTTATTTTCCTGCTTACTATTTTCTGAAGCTTTCTCAACCCGGAGGTAACCCTTCTTTACTTTATAAGTTGTCTTTTATAAAATCCATGTCTTCCATCATGCTATGTATACGGCTGTAATTCTTACTAAGTCGATCACTTCAATTATAGTTGATGAATCAACGTGGCGGGGACCTGACACTATAACAGGAACCATATAAATCTAAACATCCAGGGGGTATGTACATTTCAATGCTCGGTGACTTCCCACATCCAAGGGAAGGTATACTGCATGGTCATTTGGTGCTGGGCGTTTCGGATAAAAGCAATATATTCTTGAATTTGGTAATAAAATATTTGGTTATTCCATTGTACTGCATTAATTATTTATACAGTATAGTCATTGTTATTTATCAAGATTTCTTTTGTGCGTACAACTACAATTCCATATATGGTAATAAGCAAATTAATGACACTGCTTCCTAATATGGGTTTATGAATTGACTAATAACATTAATTATAGCTTAATATGAGCTATAACTATTTTATTCACATACAAACAGCATGTTATATTTATATACATCTAAATAAAAAAACTACCAGACTTTAATGCATGCATGTCTGCACTTTACTTTGTGTGTGTGTGTGTGTTAAGAGAATGCTTGGCTAAATCCTACATTCACCCCTTGCATGGCCTTTGTTAATACTACAAAGAATTCCTTAAAAGCTAGGCCATATGTGGTTTAAGGATATGTGAAAACAGCTGGTGTTTTATGATTACGGTATACCATTGGTTTCAGTTCTATATGATTCTGGTTGCAGTGCCCTAATATATCACTCCTTTCCTATTTAAGTATGTGAACATATTGGTGACATACCCTAGAATATTGTAACCCTGATACATCTGTTCATAGTTAAGATAACAGGATTCCCTATTTCATTTAATTGATTATTTGATTTAATTTGTTACAACGCGACATAGATACATAAAAATGTGATTACAGTGACAGAATTCCCTATTTCAGACTATTAGATTTAATTTGTTTTGACGTGTCCTAGATGCAATACATAAACACACACGTGATGACAGTGATGCTTTAACTTAATATAATTTGATATTCATTTTTAGCTTTAATGCAATATTACATAACATAAAAATGCAATTTTATGGTGATCTATGCGTTTGCTCATTTTGAATGAATACTTCAAATAAAAATTAACTTGCTAATGTGTCCTTGTAAGAGGATGATTCTTACTGTGGTGCTGTATATGCACTGGAAATGTTTTTGATTTTTTTGTTGCAGGTTCAATATCGCCAATAAATCTGACACCAAAAGGTTTTGATACTGCTTGGCGACAAGGCAGTCGTCGTGGTGCTGCCTCAAGACAAGGCAGCCGTTGTGGTGATAAACCAGATGCCTGGAGACAATACAAGTGGTTTGCACACAAGAGTAATGCTAGATCAACGTCATATTACATGTAATGTGTTCAGGATGATAACATCTGATTTGTAAGGATATACAACAAAGTATCAGTGGAAAACGTTTCTCATTACTCTAATGTTCATTTATGGTTTACATTAAATTTGGATCTAATGAGAATAATTACTAAGTTTAATTAAATTTTGAAATTATTATAAACCATTTTATCAGAATTAACATATTTCACGACTGTGGGCAAGAGCTGGAATCTGTAACCAACTATTAGTCATTGGTTATGTTTCAAATGCTTTTTTTTTTATCCTCCACTAATCTGGTAAAGCCAAACCTGTGGCCAGCACCTTCGCATTAAAAACAAAATCAAATTAGCAATTATCATAAGAGGGCGCCCTCGCATTAAGTTGGTTGCAAACAAATTCCCGATATTTAAGAAATTTTGCATTTTATAACTAATTGAACTTTATGTTAATGATAAAAACAAAGCTATAAACAAGTTTTTTTTATATTCTATGAATGTCCTTCTCAATGCTGCATGGCAGGCCATGTAACAATTCTTTCCCACTTTTAACCGTTTATATTCCCATACAGAAGCATTGTTAACTTACAAATCTGGGTATTTAAATATTTCAAGTAATTTTTTTTTATATAAAGTACAATAAACCATGCATTTTTTTATTAATCACAGAGTTATCGATGAATTAAGGGTTTACTCAATAATTTTTTTTCTTGCAAAAGATAAAACAAGGAATCATTAAGTAACTAAATATTAAAGGCTGTAAGCCAGCAGACATTGTGCTGTCAAATAGTTCAGACAACTGTTTTTTGTTTTGTTTTTTTAAAAAAAGAAGAAAATCCACCTTCACCTGTATAGCTTCTCTATAATTTCAAATGGTAACTTTGAGTACATGTTGGAAATTAACATAATAAGCTCAATGTTAAAAGTACCAATGAGGTAATCAAACTCCAGGTTCTACAAAAAAAGAACTGGTCCTAATTTTTTTATCACGCAAATCGATATTGTAACAGTATTCAACAAGTAAAGTTTCACAGAATGATGTGTACAGTGAAACAAGACTCAGTTTGTATTTCACTTTCCCAATGTTACATTGTGTACAGTGAAACAAGACTCAGTTTGTATTTCACTTTCCCAATGTTACATTGTGTACAGTGAAACAAGACTCAGTTTGTATTTCACTTTCCCAAACTTTCGTTTAAAGAAGAGTATCTACATGTATTGTACTAAAAAATCATTTACCTTGCATGCTATATAACGATCAACGCATTGCATTAGATAAAAGAATGATCTACTGAGATTATTTTGATGTATCTACATTTGAAGGACTCATTATGATAATGGTAGTATTGAAGGAGGGTTTATATTTATCACTGATGCAACAGATTATAAATGTATCATTGAAGAAGAAAACAGTGTATAGTGCTTTTTACACATTTTTGCATCAAGACCAAGTTTGTATTTGCAGGCTGTCACATTTATAAAATTCCATCCATGCACATTAGAAAACTACACAGAAATCAAATCTTTCCTTAATACTGCTGAGTAGAATATATTTACACCAGCACCATATTTATATAGTAAACTGTTATAGCCAAGGGATGAACCATAAAATACTCATGGAAGGGTAGTATTGCTGTTTTAAATCTGCCATTGCCCCAGATTCTGTGCAGACCCCTACCCTGCTATTTCTTCATTTTCCCTGTGCAGACCACTACCCTGCTATTTCTTCATTTTCCCTGTGCAGACCACTACCCTGCTATTTCTCATTTTCCCTGTGCAGACCACTACCCTGCTATTTCTCATTTTCCCTGTGCAGACCACTACCCTGCTATTTCTCATTTTCCCTGTGCAGACCACTACCCTGCTATTTCTTCATTTTCCCTGTGCAAACCACTACCCTGCTATTTCTCATTTTCCCTGTGCAGACCACTACCCTGCTATTTCTTCATTTTCCCTGTGCAGACCACTACCCTGCTATTTCTCATTTTCCCTGTGCAGACCACTACCCTGCTATTTCTCATTTTCCCTGTGCAGACCACTACCCTGCTATTTCTTCATTTTCCCTGTGCAGACCACTACCCTGCTATTTCTCATTTTCCCTGTGCAGACCACTACCCTACTATTTCTTCATTTTCCCTGTGCAGACCACTACCCTGTTATTTCTTCACATTTTTCCTGTGTAGACCCCTTCCCCGCTGCCATTTCTTCAGATTGTCCCTGTGAACACCCTTTCCCCGCTATTCTTCAGATTTCTGCTGTGCATATCCTTTCCTTGCTGCAATTTTTTTATTTTCCCTGTGCAGACCCCACCCCAGTTGTACATGTCCCAATACATAAATATGAAGTAGACACTAGGGGGCGCTATTTCACTTTCAAAAATTTCAACAAAGCACACGATTTTGCATTTCACACATACTGTAAAAGATCTGCAAAGACTTTAAAATGAATATTTGATTTTCAATTTCAGAAGATATTACTTTAAAATTCATGTAACTCGTATTTATTCAGTTCTGTAAAGTTTTAATTTGTTTGGGTTTTGTGGAAATAAATGTAATATCAGTTACTACTCTTAAGGTTTGAGTTAATGTTTGCATGGAGAAGTAAATATTGGTGCAACTTTTTATGCATTTTTATAATGCAATGCTTTGAAGCTGAACCATATTTTAAACCAAACTCTGAGTTCATCCACATAAGCAACCAGTGCATGAACACTGGATAAAACATACAGACCAATTTACATTTCACAATTTAATGTCACTTTTTAGAAGACAAAATATACACAATTACATACATTATTATTATCTAAATGTACATGTTTCATAAATGAATTAATCTGTGCATTAGATTAAAAACTGATGTTCACTCATTTGTATGGGTGTCATCTCTAACTGCTGCCTTTCTAGAGTGAGTGAAAATATCATTTTGAGATATTTAGCAAACTATTATGAATGGAATAGTCCTTCAGACTGAGACCACCTTACAATCAGAATACATTCACGCATAGTTTAGTTATGCTGAATAGTTGCAGGTAAAATAGATGCAAGTAAAATGTTCAGATTGCAAATGTGACATGAAATTATAGGTGGTTATAAGGACAGCGTTTTAGTGAACAAAGTCTACATGTTAGAATACACACCATTTCTTTGAATTAATGGTAGACCAATTAGTGTAAAATTTGGTTTATTTTACGTGGGTCGAACAATCTTGATCTGACTTTAATTTTGTATACATCATCTTTGTAACTCTTTAAAACTTTACATAACATAATCAGACAATTAAAGATGCCGTTTAAACACAAATCTTCTAAATTTACAGACAGATTTCAATCTTTGATTCATACTAATTCTTGGGAAAGTTTTGTTCTGCAACACCATACCTAAAATCTAAATAGCTTCCCTACAAATCTTAATCTTGTACATAATTTTAACTCATCACTGAAGAAAACTAAAGTGTTTTCACATGAGATTGGGATTATGATATTATTCAGTCTATAAAACAAATAACATGCAAAATATATCACTAATCAATAATGGAAAATAATTTATATCATCAATTTGAAAACCACAGGTGCAGCTTGCCCATCAAATCAACAAACTAGATACAACATTTATGGTTATATTTTTAAAACCATTATGTGACAGGGGATTTCGTGCTGCGTTCTAAAAACAGGTTGTATTTGATACTGTTGGATGACCTATGTAAACTGCCAATATGTCTCATGCATAATATTAATGGTCCTATCACTGAGATGTAATTTTGTTGTCCTATGATAAGAATTATTTTCCAATATATAACTTAATATCGCTATGTTAAATTGTCTTTGAACTACAAATGATATTTGCTTGCAATTTTTTTGAAAACAAAATTAAATGCTGATAATGAAAGTGCCTGCCAGGATGTATGATCTTTATGGGGTCATACATAAGGCTAACTTATATCTAATCCTACAGTATGAATGTTAGTAAACACACCTACCTCATGGCAGTATAAATCAGTACAGGGAAAGGAAGACAAGAATTCTACAACATTTGACAACCATGGCTTTCATTTTCAGGAAAGTTAAAATATTTTGATACAGGATACATTTTAAATGACAAATAAAACTATTGTTTAACTATGATTATAATAAAGCAACTCAGGGCTACATCTTAACACACTGTGGTCCACAGAAAAGCTGCCGAAATGCAAACTGTGGTCCACAGAAAAGCTGCCGAAATGCAAACTGTGGTCCACAGAAAAAGCTGCCGAAATGCAAACTATACATGTATAGTACATAAATATCTGTGGATGGCATTGTGTCCGGAAACATGTTATCACATACATGTAATTAGTCACTTAGCATTATATATATAAATTGAGTGATTTTCAACAGAAACAAAAGAAAAGTAATGACAGCAATTTTAAACATGCCGTTTAACTGCATGATGTGATAACACAAACAATTTTAATAAACATTCAATTTATTATATATTTGATATTGTAATATCATTAATGCTAGTTGCTATGTACAAATTACTAATTAATCTCAGTGAGAAGTAAGCTGTACTGTTAGGATAGGGGGTTTACTTATTGTAAGATACATAAAATGGTTATAACAAAACAATCTGCTACATAAATGTAAATACACTTATATAGAAATTGATTTAGCAAGCTAATACATGTATATCAGTAATTGTTGCAAGATGACAGCTATGTTTATGACATTATAGCTATACCCAGGTCTAAGTTCATCACAATTTAAAATATATCGTATTTGCTTTATTAGAAGCACACCTCCAATAAAAGTGGAGATAGGCTTCAAATTTAATACCTATGCAGGATCATTAAATTATGATTTACTGTGATCATGGACATACCCATGTTATTTATGTAAGCGCATGTACCACTAATAGAGCAAATATAGTAGCTATGCTCAGGGCTGTAATGTTTATGGAAATATAGCAATGTTGGTGACAACATGGGTATATCTATACCAAGAGGGCAATACATGTATATTAGAGCTCATTTAGGTTAAGCGCAATATAAATACTCTTCATCATCA